CAAAGAGGGATAAAAAAAAACAGATACAAGCGAAAAACGGACAATAACACTATCTTGCATGGATAAAACCGAAGGCACGTCACGGAGAGGAGCAAGAAATTCAATAATTCAAAGGACTGGAAACGACTGCCAATACGCGATAAAAAGTGTGAGGCCCTCTTAAAATAATATTTGACAGACATATGCTTCCACATTTGACCCCAATATGCTTACGCATAACAGGAAGAAGCAGTTGATGGTGTTTTCAGCAGTTCTTTAGAAGGTAAAAAATGAGAACAAATTTCGGAAATCCTGAGGCACAAATTAATAAGATCCTTGACTATTTAGACAGGCTACTGGCAGGTTTAGCAAACAGTCCATTTGACCATGTTAAGGTACCAAACTTTTCTTAAATTATAATACCAAACATTAGTTGTTACTTTTCATCATGATCAGACACAAGTTGCTACTTTTTTGAGTTTAATCAGGAAGTTAAATAAATGTTTCTGTTCTCTAGTTGACGAGATTTATTATTTGGACAGGATCCTCTAAAAGCTACACTATTGTTCTCAGGCCCTAACGTAAACAAGTTCCAAAAGCATTTCCGAAGCCTCTTAATCTCTACACACAACCATGATGCTGATAAAAATTAATTGACGGTGGATTATATATGAGAAATAGCTCTGGGGTCACAATACTCTTTTTCTTTGTACTATTTTCCTATTATTTAAAGCCATCAACGAAACATTAAGTGATACACGAACTCACATAATCCTGAAATCAGCACTCTGGCTAACAAAGTTTTAGAACTCACATAATAAAATCATTTCCTTTTCTTTTGAAATGCTAATTTGCTCGCCTTGGTGACTCGAACTCGCAACCTTAACATTGGAGGTAGAGGTGCTTTCCACTTGAGCTACCCCCTTTTGGTTTTAATAAAATAATTTCCTATCCAAGACACTATAAAGAGACTAACTTTGACAACATCCCAATTTGGTTGAGCGGAGGTAATCTGATGTTAGAACAAAGGATCTGATCCGTACTACAATGATTAGGATAATGAGCCTATGAAGACACAGGGAGAGGTGAATTTATGGCATTAGGAATAATCCTAAAAATGGAATTCATGACCATATACAAAATAAGAATGTGACAAGAGATGAGAATGACATGATAAATTTGGAATTTTGGGATGCAGAGACATAATTGTTAACACTCTAAGATACTAATAATTGAGATATTTTATTAACTAAAGTGCCAAGCCAATTATGTGCAACCCAAAATCAAATATTTATAACATAAAAAAATGTATGCATCCATACTTATGATAAAGGAACATCATTAATTTAGTCTATACTCTACAAGACCACCAATCTTACCATCACATGCTTTAAGCTATACTTGCTGGAAATCTCCAATGAACTATTTTATTTAATAACTTTGAAATTTCAATAAAATAATCTCAAACAGAGAAGAAAGCGACACTCTGTTTCTCCATAAATCTCGATATGATAGTTATCTCTTCAGTCTAAGGTGAAACTTTCTCTAATTGGAAGGAGACAGTATTACATTACACAATCATTTCTCGTCTCCAAAAGCTTATTATGTTTAAAGAGTCCGCTTAATTGATATGGATTTCATCAGTTTTGAATAATCTATTGCAGGTTCTTATTACAAGATGAACAGAATTACTCGAAACTCAATTTAGTGAAGACAGCCAAAAAATCTGATTTTAACTGATCTTTCAAAGGAAGGAAAACTAACACACCTGGGATCAATAAATGTTGTGATATCAATAGTATCTCTGAAATTCACATGGCCACTAAGCTTACTTAAGCGTCCTCGAGCATCTTGGCTGAACCTTTTTAGATGAACAGTCAAAATTGGAGGGACTTTATCAATGAGTATCCTTTTAGTTGCATCTCTTTCCACTTTGACACCTTTAGAGTCCGTCTCATTTTCACTTTCTTCAGATTCAGGTTCATCCAACTTAACTCTCTTATCGCGATTTACTACACTACAAGCTTCATCTTGACTTGAGTAGCCATTTGTTCTATTTTGGTACACCAACCCGTCATCAAAAGCATCTGACACACCTTTCACAGCACTTCGATTAGTGGTTCTCAGTTCAATATCCCTTGGATTACTGTCCTTTGGCGCATTCTCCAGATCACCTGATCTAGGTTTCGGCAATTTCTTGTTCAGCCTCGTCCTCTGTTCNTTTCTTGTTCAGTCTCATCCTCTGTTGTCGTAGAAGTTTTGCACAGTTTTCACATTGCCAAGCATGTTCAATTTTAGATAGAAGCTCAGGCTTTGTGAAACAAGCCAAACAACTCTCCACAGACACTGGAGCATCAGTATTATCAACCTCATCTGGATCAGACTCAGTGCTATTTCCAACAGCAGAGCTAGCTTCTCCAAATCCATTTGACGTAGAAGCAGGACCATTTAGTAAAGGCTTTTCAGCAGGCCCTGCAACCGGCTCAGGTTCATTGAATAGGCCGCCGAAACCATCAAAGTCCGTAAAATCTTGTTCACCGAAAACAGCATCATAGGACACCTTGCCTTCTGCTTTTGGTATGTCACTGGTAGCTGAGGTCTCTTCCTTATAAGGAAGCAACAGAATTTCTGAATCTTGTACCTGTAATGGGGCTTCATCTTCCCAAATCCTCGTTGATGAATCGTTTCCAAGATTTGAATCCGCCGAGAAGAACTGGCTGTTTGATGCTGAGTTACACGCAACTTCACTAGCATAGCAGTCTTTAACTGGTGCTTCTTCACAAAATTGAGAAGCTATATTGCAGTTTGGTGACTTAGATCGTCCTTGATCGTCCAAGCAAATCGAATCATCTGGAGAACAAGCTTCCTCTCCACAATCCTGATTATTTTGCAAGGAGACATTATGTTGAACAGCATATTCAGTTCCGCAACCCTGATTAGTCAGAATATCATCATTTTGTGATGCGATGTCATCACCCTTGGGCAGAATATCTTGATCAAGATTAGTCGAACATGTAAAGTTCTCCACTGAATTCAACTGTCCAGTAATACCATTCTGAGAGGAAGATAGATCAGGAGAAGTTACTTGAGAAACGATGTCATTACCATTAGGCGGGCTATCTTGATCAAGATAATCCAACCATGTAAAATTGTCCATTGAAGTCGACTCACCGTCTACATTTTTTTCATTATTGAACTTCAGAGAGGAAGATAGATTATGTGAAGTTAAGCCCATATTATCAGCAACATCACTAGCATCAACGCAATCTAGCAATGCACCGTCAGAAGGAACTGTTGTTCCTTCAGTGATTGGCGTACTAGACTGCATCGAAGTGCTTTCTTGAGCACTTTGAGCATTAAGAGAAGCTGCGTCTCTGCTAATCTTGGGGCGGACTCTTCCACTTCTCTTTGGAGGATGTTTTGATTTCTTCGCTCGGGAAACTGGCTGAGTCTTTTTAGGTGGAGGCTTCTTAGTGGGAACCGGCAACGAGAGATCCAAGAATGGCTCATTTACTAATGAAGAGTGTCCACACTCCAGACAAGTAACAGTACTAGAGAGACGACCCCCAAAGATGGCATCAACAAAAGTAGGAGGAGACTTGCCATCATCCTGCGAAGACTTGAGTTTCTTTCTTGCAGTCAATTCCTCGGTACACAAACCGTCAAGCAAACAATGAAGCAACTCGTGACTGTCGTGCTGTTGATATCCCCTAAATTGTGGAGCCTTCGCACACAAGGAACCAAAGAAAGTTTTTGGATTTATAGCATTTCTTAAGGTATCCTCAGGACTCGTCTCAGCAAAGAGCTTCGTAAAAGAAGCAGTAAGAGGACCAGCACAATCGTCCATTTCAAGAAAGTAATCCCGTAATCTATTCATTGCAAGTAGGTTTTGAATTATAGAATTAAAAAAACAAGTATTTCCTAAATTAAGCAATCCCCTAACAACATAACCACTTTTCCCGTAGGCACCAATTTCAACACTAGCTTCTGACTTGATCCCACTCGTGATACTCCCCGTCCCAAACCAAACATCCTCAACATCAAGACTAGGCTCTTCAGTCGACCGCCCTTTAATCATCTTCACAATGTCCTGTAATACATACTTTTGTTCAGTGCTCTCCTCTATCTTTTCGGCAGGAATTAGTCTATTGCACGAGAAACACCAGCGCAGCTGAGGATTTTCAAACTGCACTGCCAATGAGTGGCGATACTGTCTTGCATGCCGAACTGCATGACTCTGAGGAGTAGTAGGAAATCCAACACCTCCACACGAGAAATGACCACACTCTAAACAGATCCAAATGGCTTTGGAATCTGACTTTGATTCTCCACCTCCCTTCTTTTTTCCATGTTTACCTTTTCCTTTCCCAGCCCGTCTATTAACCGCTCCTTCCCTGCAATCTTCACACCTAACAGGTCCTGAAGAGCCAAGTTTAGCAGAAACTTTCTCCACATCAATACTCTTATCAATATGGTCACATATTTTTTTATCATTTACAGCTGTAACTCCATCCTCGGGGGTATTAACTTTTTGGGTGTCTTGTTGAGCAACAAGATTTGGAGATGCCACTGGATTCCGCTTCTCCTTCAAACCACCTTTGCCATTTTTCTTAACCTTTTTCACCATTATATCCTACAATCGACAACAGAAAACATCATACACCCTAAGTACAATACACTAATACATAGCTCAAATAACTAAGTTAGAATATTTCATAGGCACCACTTCTGGCCCATGCCCAAACAATTAGTATTCCTTAAACTTATCCTCAGAAATCACTCACTTAGATGAAAACATGACAGTAGGTCATGGCACAATAATCGAGCTCACATAAATAGGCCTACATTGAAGGGAAGAACAAGACAAGATTGCAAGTCTAGTAAACATATCAATTTCAACTGAATAAGGAAAAAACATAAAAACTAAATCAACTAAACATATCTCATTCATCTCTCTTAATCTTACTTATGTACATCTATTCACGAAGTGCTAATCTAGAAACGAAGCAACATCAATACCAAAATCTAGCTATTAGATTAAAGAGCAGTACATGCAAACTTGCAAGTCTAATAACCATTTACATAAGCAACAAGTCAATTAAACATCTCATTCATTTCTCTTCAATCGACCTCACCGACAGATGATCGAACGCCTTAACTAGTAAAATATAAAGAATGATCTTTAAGTCAATTAAATAAACTAGTCAATCTCTGGTCACTAAAAAGTGAACTTCCTTCTTTCGACAGTCGGAAAGGATGTATTTATTTACAATATCCCTAATAGATAAACTAAAGAAAACCAAGACCAAGCAAAAACACTAGGTGATTTCTTTCCATCTTTCCAAGCCTTGGTGGACAGAGTTAGCCGATATCTGTGCTGGTGGGAGCCTTGGTGGACAGACCGACAGAGTTAGCCGATATCTGTGCAGGTGGGAGGTAGCATGTACCTGTTCAAAGTCGAGGTGCACGCACACTGACCCGCACACTATGGTTATAAAGAAAGACCAATANGGTCCGTTGGTATTTAGCCTATGGTTCAAAACCTCTAAAGTCTCAAATGTGGTAAAAGTAGGATTTAGGGTTGTAATTATGCAAGTGAGTTGCGGTTAATTATTTACTTCATAATTTAATGGAGTTTTACAGTCTAGTGATATCTCATCTCTCACGTAATAGAGATAGATTTAATTCTCATGGCTACTTATTTGCGGTTAATTATTTACTCCATAATTTAATAGAGGTTTACTGTCTAATAGTATCTTGTCTCTCGCGTAATAACGATAGATTCAATTCTCATGCATACTTATATAGTAATATCTTATATTTGATCTCGTTTCTCACGTAATAGTGATAGATTCAGTTCTCATAGCAACTTATTTGCGATTAATTATTTACTCCATAATTTAATATAGGTTTACAGTCTAATAGTATCTCGTCTCTCGCGTAATAACGGTAGATTCAATTCTCATGCCTACTTATATAGTAATATCTTATGTCTGATCTTGTTTCTCACGTAATAACGGTATATTCAGTTCTCATGGCTACTTATATAGTAATATCTTATATCTGATCCCATCTCTCACGTAATAGCGGTATATTCAGTTTTCATGGCTACTTATATAGTAATATCGTGTATCTCACATAATAATCGTAGATTCAATTCTCATGTTTACTTATTCAGAGTTAATTAAAACTTAAAAGTCTAAGTATCTCGTATCTCACGTTCAACTCTCGTGGTTATTTAATATTAATCAAAACTTATAGTTTTAGTGATATCTCGTGTCTCATATAATAGCATCACATATTGAATTTTCACTGTCTCTTCTATATTGCTTCTTAAATCTCTTCTTTGAAGAAAAGGCTTAGATTTTATTTTGATTAACTTAATTTTCTTCATTGTGGTTGAGATGAGTATACCGAATAGTAAATGTGAGGGTTGGCATGAGAATAAAACAACGTACTGCAACACCTTAATAGGGGTTATTAATGCAAGTGGTTTATAATAAGTTACTTAAATCTAATTTTAGTTTGTTATATTCTTTCTTTTATTATGATTCGATAAAGGAAACAGTAATAAGTAAACACGATTGTAAGTGAAAAATTGAAGAAGATTGTTGAATAGACAGGGGAAAAAAAGGTCGATAAAAATAAGTTTAACGATTCAATAATAAGGTTGGTTAAGTAAAGTTGACTCGATCTACTCTTTAATATGACAAATTTTAAGTACCATTCCTCTTAAAATGTTGTTACATGCATTTATAATGTCTAATTGATTACTATCTATGTATTTATATCTATATTTATTATATTATATTATATTATATTATATTATATTATATTATATTATATTATATTATATTATATTATATTATTATAAAAATATAAATATTCTATGTCAAATATTGAACGACGAAAATATCTTAAAAAAATTAACCGACTTTTATAGCCTTTGAAAGTTAGATTATGTCTTTACTCAATCAATTTGGTATAGGATAAAATTGTAATATTGAACCGAATTCGTTTGGAACTTAAGAGTTTTTGGCTAAAATTATCCTTCAAATATGGCTCAAAACTAGGGCACATCCTTGTGTAATAATAATGAACAAAAAACATCCTTTAACTATCCAAAAAATGACAACAATCATCCTTCTGTTAAGAAACTAACAGTTGCACCCAAAACATGTGCCAAGCACGTGACTCCTCCCCTCCCCCCCCCAAATTAGCCTTCCCGATCGTCTTCATCCTTCAGTGAAGCTTGGGCTTCAAAAACTTGATTTTTCTTTCAATATAATGAATATTAAAAAATAAACTTTTATATTAAATAAAAAAACAAACTAGAACTTTGTAAATTCAGTAATATCAGTATAAGTAAATGTGAAAGCTATGAGGAAATTCAGTAATATCAACACACAATATATGGGTCTTTTAAGAATGAGGAAGATGTTTAGTTTAAGAAATAGCAAAAATACTACTCCATAGAATGGGAAAAGCCAAAACTTTTTCAATGACTATTGTTGCTTTTATCTTGTTTGTGAAGCATGGGAAGATAAGTAACAGATAATTGTTAGGGATATAATAGATATGCCCTAGATCCAATCTCATATTTGATGATTTGAACATATTTTTGTGAATATTATTTGATATAAAAATATATGACATCTGATATTCTTTTATCATAGTTATTATTAATTATTTGATTAACTTGATAAGATCCTTAATTAAATTTTGAGACTTGACATTGTGATGGAGATCATGATAATGAGAGTGAAGTTTATATAATTTAATCTAATTTTTTTCTTGATCATAGGATTATTAATTTGGACATTAATACCGGTTAGATCAATATTTATGTGATCGTCTTTATGGGATAAAGATTAGTTGATCTCATTAACTAAATCACATAGATAGATGATGCATATAGAGATATGATCATTGAACCGACTCATTGGATAATTCCTAATGGTTAGAATTGCCATAAACTGTCAATAGGATATTCTCTTGAAGAATGTGATGTAAAAGTTTCTTTTGACCTGAGATCATCATAGTAATTGACAAGTTATTTATTGTGCTTTGATACCAGACACCTATGGCCCTAGGGCAATAATTGAAAGGATATTGGGTACGATTAAATGCATGTAGAATTAGTGATTGATCAAGATGGAATCTGTCAACTCTTGGTAATGAGTTTAAGCTCCATGTTGTCATGAATTATAAATGACCAAACTAAAACCTTGGCCAGGGCAATTAAATGAAAGAAGAAATGAGTTTTTTAGGTCATTCAATGATCGATTATACATGAACATATAGTTGGTCGCCTATTAGGATTTGACAGTTGAACCATATCCTAGGGTGATCCAAAGCTATAAGGACAGAAGGAATTACTACATATTCTTCTACTGGTTCTTAAGAGTAAATTGTATACTTCATGCTATCCGGTCATTAAGGAGTGTTGCTAGACGCCACCCTTGATTAGTATATTGATGTGGTCAATTTACTACCGGCTTTGTATTGAACCTATGGGGTCGCACACTAACGAGTGTTCTGATATTTGCTAGGGGATTAATTATTTTATTATTTGGTAATTAAATTAAGAAATTTAATTAGTCAAATACNAAATTCAAACCCATTTGGAATGGGATTAATATTTTCCTTATATATGAAAAGTTCATAAATAAGAATCCAACTTTGAGTTGGAGGAATTACGTGAAGGACTCGGCAGTCACGTTTTCATTATTTACGTGATTTTCTAATTTTTCATAAAATTCTATGAAGTTTATTTTTGAAATAAACTTTACCCCAAATAAATCATTACCTCAACCAAATAGGAAAATGGTTTATAGGTGATGCTATATAAAGGGTGATGGAACAAAATTTGTCATTATTAATTCTTGAGAAGAAAAAATACTTTGTGAAAGTGAGAGTGCAATACCAAGCCAAGAGAGAAAATACAATTACAAGAAAAGTATTTCTTGTTCTTCTAATTTGAGTTGATATTTTTGAGAAAAATTTCAGCACAAGTTTGTCGTTCAATTTGTTTGCGGGTTTCATTGATCAAAGAGTTGATAGCAAGGATCGGTCTCAGTGTGGATACGCATAGAGTCTTCGCACTATCGAAGAAATTTGAAACGAGACTCTCTTCACCAGGTACGTCTTAGATCCGATCTTTGACATGTAAATAAATTTTAAACACGAAAAGATCTGCCTAAGATTGTTATTGCCTTCCGCTGCGTGTTACGAACACCTATACGCAATCCTTCAGTGGTATCAGAGCCATGATTTCTCGTGTCTAAAATTTATTTACAAAATATTTTAAGAGTTCAAACCATTAAAATACATATGTCGTGCAATAGTCAAATTGTTTGAATGCATATGGATTGATATCATTTTATTGTGAATAAAATATATATGCATATAAGTTAAACTATTGAGATAGTTCGCAACTTGAATTTGAAATTTATGTATTAGACATAACGGGAATCTATAATAGGTTACATGATTCTATTGTTATTTTTAATTGTTATTAGTTCATGAGATGCTAATTAATAATGATGTTCTAGTATGAATTACTTTTTGTGATATATGTGATATATAGATTAAACATGTTAGAAGAATGTTGAATTTTATTTTTATGTCACGTGCTCGTTCGTTACATAATTTTGAATTATTTATTACATGTGATGGAAATTAATTTAGAACTAAGCATGTAGACAACTTGAACTAAAATCACATGCTATAAAAGATTTGATCTTCATGTTATTAAAAACTGTTTTAGTAACAATTCCCTCTTACTAAAATTTGAGTTCTTAAATAATAAAATATGAGATATTTTATTATAGAGCTATCCATCAAAGTAAATAATTATACTTATTTCTTGTTTATAAGGAGCGACCTAACTATCAGGAGACTTATAAATCGAGAATATGTTAAAATTATTTATTGCATTAGATACATGGATTGAAAGAATTATTCAATTTTACACTAGACGCCTGGACTATTCGGGGAGTATAAAATTTATTAAATTATTTGTTATCATGATGATTGAACTCAACTATGCCAATAGGATCGACCTGACTACCAGGGGACTATTTAACATAGAGCTATTTAAGGAAATTGTATGGAGATACAATTGGTAAGAGTACCTACCTTTAAAATATATGTGAGAAACGACTTGACTTCCAAGGGGCTCATACATATTGTTTAAGGATTCCTTTACTCCACTAACAGAAATAAAGATTTCTTAAACTATAATGAGGGTAAATAGTTTAAAATAATTAGTGAAAATATTATTTAGATAAAAGTGCATGTCTTTATGATATATGTAAATATGTCCTTCTATTATTGCCTTTTCTTTTCTATATTTTAGATTTCTCAATATGTCTGTTATATCACTACGTGAAATACTTAAGACCAACAAGTTGGTAGGATCAAACTTTGATGACTGATATAGAAATTTGAGAATTGTTCTCATGCATGAAAAACTCATTGATGTGATTGATA